TCAGACCAGGTGACAATAACTGGCCTTGGCTAACGGGTGATTCTTTATGCTGAAATCTCGAAATACAATAAAATTCACTAAATTTACTCATCGCAAACAGGAGATATTGATTCGTTGGATTAGACATACAGATAAACATGGGACATCATTTCGGATAAATACACTCACTTTGACAATTTGGCCTTTCGTCAGAGATTTGTCCCGGCTAAACACAGCAACGCTAGTTGGAACCGATTACTAATAGGAGAATATGCTCGTTTTTTGCGTGTTTTCAGGGATTTATAGAAAACCAATCACTTGCCAGCGGTAGAGTTCTCAAACTGTTCATATTTTGAAATCCTTTTGTCGGAGTTGTATCCTCTTTGGGAACTTATGTTCAAAGATGTAGACTACGACTACGTTACGTCTTGAGATATATGCATAAATAAGTAGACAAACTGGTACATGTAGTCAAATTTACGAAGTTTACAATGTGATTTGTGTATATTCAACTGTTTGACGCAGTTAAGAGTATTTGAACTTGCCGAGGTGCAAAAATATAAAAACATTTTTGAAGGCCATGCGGGTTACTTAGACTTCAGACCCCTCCGCTTTTCAAAAATAGAATCACGCTAAAAAAAATAACGTGGATCTCGATGCATTTTGTTACATGCATAATTCGCTTCCTCATATGCAGTTTTAAATGGGAGACTTTTCGAAGCCATTTCATGCCATTTTAGCGAAAAATAGGTAAACGCTAATAGAAGCGAACAGGCGAGTCCCAGGTAGCAGTTCAGAAGATGAAGATGCGATCACTGGGACAAGAAGTTTATTTGCCTGACGTTTCGGATTCTCACTCGAATCCATCATCAGAGACATTCACAGATAGAGGTGAATGTGGCACCAGGAGGGCAGTATTTATAGCACGTGCCTGCCGTAGGACCGTATGCGCGCTGCAATTAACGGTTCTCACAATCGCCGCTGGGGTCGTAATTGATGCGGCGGTGGCTTGGCGGTCCGAGTCCGAGTTGTTAATTGCCGCGATTTCGTCATCCGTGCTCGATGCTGGTGTGACGATTGCTCGGCAAACTGGCTCACTGTCACCGTGATAATTGCTCACCCGCGCCCTCCCCACGTGACTGATTCTCATGCCCAGGGAAAATCGCAATACGGAATAGGGCACCGGGAGGTCATTGTGTTTGTTAATGGATTGCGGGCCTGAGAACCATGACTCGAGCAGCTCGCGGCTCACGCGGTTGTCACCTCTTGCGAGGATTTCGGTCTCTTGAAATTTGAAAATATGGCCGGGTCCCGTCGAGTGTGCCGCCACCTGAGAGTTAGCGTCTCCCCGCCTCACTGCTGCTGCGTGCTCGGCAAGTCGCGTACGGAGTAATCTCCCAGTTTCTCCGACATAATTGCTTTGTCCGCAACTACACCAGATCCGGTAAACGACTCCAGACGTTTCCTGCCGTGGCAGCGGGTCTTTTGGCCTCATTACTTGGCGCCTAATGGTTGCTTCCGGCCTGTGTGCAACCCCAACTCCAAGTGGAGTGAGAAGACGACTGACGGCTTCCGAGACGTTCTTCACGTACGGAAGAGCCCGCCAAATTTTGGGGCTAGTTGGATTTGGTCTCTGGTGTCCTTTTCGTATGCACTGGTTGACAAAGTTGCGCGGGTAGCCATTAGCTCTCATTACCCGTCGAAGATATTGTAATTCAGCAACCTTGTCTTCCATTTCACTGCAGTGCGTCTCAGCACGCCGGTATAGCGCCCTTACGCAACTGCGTTTGTGACTGATCGGGTGGTTGCTATTGAAGTTCAGTATTTGCGTCGTATTTGTCGCTTTCCTGAACACTTTGGTTTTTAGGCCACCACAATCTTTGCGGCAGACGAGGACATCCAGGAAGGCCAGCTGATTGTTTTCCTCCTCCTCCATCGTAAATTGAATGTCCGGGAAGACGGCGTTGAGTTGTTCTTTGAAAGTCAGCACCTGATCCCGTTCGATGACGACGAAGGTGTCATCCACATACCGAGCCCAGAATTTCGCTCTGTGGTGTCGGAAAACCAGCGACTCCAGCCGTTGAAGGACCGCCTCGGCTATGAGTCCCGAAATCGGCGAACCCATTGGCGTTCCCTTCACCTGCTCGTAGATTGTTCCGTCGAATGTAAAGTACGTCTTGAGACAGAACTTTAGGAGCTGAATGATTTGGGCGTGTCCGAGGCGATTCTCCGTTTCGTCGTACTTCTCTCGTAGGAGTAGTTCGATTGTCTCGACTGCCAGGTCCTGCGGGATGGAAGTAAAAAGGGACGTGACATCAAAGGAAACCATGATATCGCTTGGCAGGAGACTTACTCCTTTAAGTTTCTCCAAGAATTGTGTTGACGAGCTGACTGTGGTGTTCGAATCGGAGGTCAGAAACTTGAGACGTTGGAACAGCCACTTTGCCAGTCCGTAGGTTGGAGTGCCCCTTAGTGATAAGATAGGCCGGAGAGGAGCGCCCTCTTTGTGCACTTTTGGAAGACCGTAGAATCGGGCTAGGGCTGTTTCTTGTGCTCTCGCCATGCGTCGGTCGATTGGCGATATTGCACCTGCGTTCTCCATTGCCAACAGCGTCGCGTTAATCTCGCGTGTCAGCGTTTTCATGGGGTTGGATTCGTATGGGACGTAGGACTGACGATCCTCCAACAAGCTTTTGGCTTTTTGATTGTAGTCTGTCCTGTCCAATACGACCGTTGAACGCCCCTTGTCCGCAGGCACGATAACGAGGTCGTTGTCGGCTCTGAGTTCTTTAAGTGCATCGCGCTCGACCTTGGAAAGCACATCGCGCGGCCTATGAGCCATGAGGAGGGAGGACACTTGGTGTCGAATGAGGTTCTTCGTTTCGTCTGTCGCTCCCGTCTGGCTGAGGATTGATTCTACTGCTGCGATCATGTTGGCAGGTTTGGCATCGGCTGTGTTGAATGAGGCCTCATGCCGTAAAACCTGCATTTGTTCCTCCGTCAGCTCCTTTGACGACAGGTTGTGCACCAGTTTGTCGTTCTTGGATACCATTGGAGCGGGCAGCTTACGAAATTTGCTCTCTAGGGCTGCTTCTCGCGTTGTTTTATGTTCGCGGGTTCGTTCGGCCAGCCTCTGCTGAAACAGTTTTGTGCCGTCCTCGCCCATGAACTCGCAGCACCTTGCTTTCTCTTGGTCAATCCTCTGACGGTATTTGCGAATCCGTGAGTGACAGTCTTGAAGGAGCACTCGGATCATTCGTCGGCCGTGCTGAAGTACTGCGCGTCTCGCCAGCTCTGTGTTGACCGGAGGTTTGTATGAAACACACTTCGGCAGCACATTGTTGTCGAGACACCTGTGCAGAAATCGAATCTGCGCATATGTTGACGACTCTCGAAGGGCAAAGGTTTCCCACCGTCGAGCCGATCGGAGCGCTTCGCGCCCAAAAAGATTGCCCTCCTGGTGCCACATTCACCTCTATCTGTGAATGTCTCTGATGATGGATTCGAGTGAGAATCCGAAACGTCAGGCAAATAAACTTCTTGTCCCAGTGATCGCATCTTCATCTTCTGAGGTAAACGCTAGCTAATCTAGAAAGAAAACACTTATAATTTAATCCAAATCTGACTATGTTTGATTTCTATAACTTCAATTATTAGATATAAAACACTCGTCGCTTTCCTCCTGGACTATTTAAGCAGGGTTGGAAGTACATCAGTCCGACTCTGCATCAGTCGTCTTCAGGGAGAACGGAAGCTTGCAAACCAGAGAAATTACAGCCGAAAGTCAACAGTACGTGCCTCAGTCTCATCTCGCGGGACTAAGCCATGCCCGTCCAGTTATTTAATAAGTGCTGCCTGCGGGCATATGATAGTTAGCCTACTTTTGACAGGGGGCCTAGCCTGCCTTTCTACGACCAACTCGACAACCTCTGTCATGGGTCTTGAGGTAATACGGAGCAGCGAAAAGCCAAAAACTATATTCGCTATACCGAGTCCCAAAACGAATCACTAGAAATTGTATTGTGGTATTTGTCTTCGGTGGTTGGTTATGTTCCTTTCTTAAGATAAGGACCAAGAGGCCGTATCTAAATTTTTCAACAAATTTTAACCGCAGTTGCTGTTGATCTTTGCGAAACACTGTTTTTCGTTCTACAAATGTCAGACATAATGATCGATTTGCGCTCTGGTCAGACTAGTAGAGAAATGTATTCACATGTGTTCCTACAAAAAGGCCACATCACGCATTTTACGTCGACACTGAATAAAAACCCGGGAAAATAAGGGCGTAACTCACATGATGACAGATTTCGGCATTGAGAAACATGGAATGCTGAGAACGTAACCATGGGAAAATTTTAAGATCGAGCTTCTATCTGCTTGTGCAAAGGTGCATATCTGCAAAAAAAGATCCGACCTTTGAGCATTCCCGTGTATACCGGTTGGCTGAGTATGGCACAGAGTGTTACAAAATAATTTTGAGATGATAGAGCAACAGGAAAGGGACAGGAACTCTATTTCACTTATGTGTGTCTTCCTTAGCCATAAGGTTAGCCAGACGCCGCCTATTACTTTAGAGCCAGTTGATCAACTACAAAAAAACATCTATCATGGCTTTCGACAAGGGTACGGTTTGTGGCCGCGATTACTTAATTCGGGTGACTTTGTGTTGAGCAAAAGATCTGAACATTTAAACGATATCACAAATTTTGATCTTCCACACTATCACCGATTAAAAGGGAAAATTATTTTTACAGTCTAGTGATAATAGTAAACGGGTTTGATGGCCTTTCGCAGGCCTTCTGACCACCCGCACGCAACAGACACCGCGGGGTTTGTTTATTTCATCCTTTCGCAGGCGCAACTAAATATCGCGAACTATTTTCTTTTACTTCAAATACTCCACGGAGTAAGCAACCATACCCTTGTCAGAATTTCATATGGCATGCAAAGACGCCGGCTTTAAAGAGCAAAACATAGACAGAACCAGTCAGAGCTGCATCTCTGGAATTATATTACTCCTGCTTTGTTTCGGCGGGAAGCTGCGCGACCTCTGGAGGGCAGGGAGTAGAGTGAGCGATCAGTCTCACGAAATGCTAACCGAAGTTCTGAAATATGCCTCTGACTAGGAGAGATTACTTAAGTGGGATTGTAATAGTGATTATCGTGCATCAAAATCGTGGGATATTTCAGTCACCCGGGGATGCGCATTTTTCGACTGCACTTCTTTCCGACCACTTTCAGAAGCCGGACTCAGTAAAAATGCCTACATAAATAGTATGTCCTCATAAAAACAAACACAAACTCAAATCATATTGTCACTGCCTCACCGCCACCATCCACCTTGCTCCAACCCCTGCATCGACCGCAGCGGCCAACAACACCACCAACAGGTCCTCACGCGTTTCCCCCCGGCCGATGGAACGACATCTGACATCCCATCACCTTCTACCATCACCACCAACACCCCACCTCCAGCGATGTGGACTCGGCTCACACCTGTTCGCATTGCGTTCGCACATTTACCTCACACATCGTTCTGGTAGGGAAAATGCAAATCCATCGCACAGAGACAGGCAAACCAGTGTACGGAGCACCAATCTACAATCTTCGCACCCGCCACAACTGTCCACACTGCCCCCGTACATTATCTCACCGCGTGGGCGTAGTATGTCACATGCGCACTTACGAAAACCTGCGGTAGATATCCGCCGACTACACCACACATTCAATCTCTCTGTTCTTCAACCCAGGCGAGCATATCTGATAAGGATTTCATGTCGTGTGTACAGACAGTTACTTCACATGAAGCATCCTGTTCCTGTTTTGGCATGGGTATGCCATTTCAAGTTACAAAAACGTAGGAATGCATTCAGGAATTTGCGAGCTCGTCATAGGTGGGCCAAGCGAATTCTTTCTGTAGGAACATTCGTCACCCTGCTAACAGCTGATACACATACCTGTGCTGTTAACGTATCTCTACTAGTCGAATATGTCCAGTGCCGTAAGACCATTTAAGAATAACTTCTCCACAGCCTTCTGCAGTTGCTCAGATATGGAAACATATTTTGTTAGAAATCCAGATAAACATTCATTTGGGTTCTCCAATCATCCAGCCCCGTAATTTCGAGAAATGCCCTCAAGTAAGTTCATTGGAACACAAACGTGATTGAGCATGGATGCAAAAATGCAAGTTACTTCATTGTTGTCTTCCTAATTAGGCCTCCTAAAATAAACTTGACACAACTGTTTAGGAGGTTTGCATCTCTTTTCACTCAGGTGGGCGGTTCTCCGGAAGGCAAAACCCTATTCCGTGTCAAAACTTGATTCCTGCGCAATGAAGCTACAACGGTGCGGTGGGGGAGGGGTGTGCTAGTAGAGTCAATGATATCGGGTTCAATAGCAAAATGACACGGAATCTCAGAAATAGAGGTCTTTGTTTCTCTTTGGAGTTCGCGCAAGTGGTCACATATTGACCGACAATCAATAACAGAGGTCTGTCGGTGACAAAAGGAAGAGCGTTCCGAGTGGCCAGTTACACCTCAAACCATGATGTCCACACAAGAACCGAATCCGGGTCAGTTGGTCCTCAGACAACGTCCCTCACCTGACCGCACACGCACAGGTGAGATCGAAATAGTCAGAGTCGCCTAGGTCTGCTGTTTACTGACCTATCCATATCCTCCAAATTAGTCAGGTCTCAGTAAACACGTGAAAATCTACTTATCATTGATTCAAGAACACGCGCCTAGATGAAGCTGGCGGTGACCAGGTTGGAGGTCCGAAATTACCACGGATACGCCAAATCGTCCATCCTTCTCCAGATGGCTACGGTTACCTTCCCTACACTCTCCGCCTACGGAGCATGTGGATTGAAGTCCCCAGGTGCGATTTCGAGCGTACCATTCACCCGCGCCCTCTTCGCCTCCGGTGTTTCTTGTCAACCCAGGTGGGGAGGAGGTGAGAGTGGGCTAGATTCTGCGCAAGTCTACTCTCGCTACAAACAAATTCAGACGCAAGTCACTGTGCCTTCCCTCACCTTTCTGTGGCGAACTCGGTGGACATTGTCGGACGTGACGGTCGAACTATTAAATGTGTTTTCAGAAAAAAATGGTCAAGATGCGCTTTTTTGTACTTTTTATTAGTACATTACGTATCTTTCAACGAGTATTCTCAGGGAAAGCGTATCCTTCAGTTTTAAATACATTCTCAGTCCCCGGTAAATTCTGGGTCTGATCTGCTTGTGACAACTTAGGGGCAGTTTTGATTGCCTTATTGATACAACTGGGATGTTATTTAATATCGCTTTACATAACTTGATAAAATTCTCTTTAAATAATTATTATTTCGTTATATTTTGCTTTAGCGAGCAAAAGGCAATAGCAGGTTTTGCAAAATAACTTATAATTGAATTTTTCAATATAATGCCAAGCACTCAGAAAAGAACCGCAATTTAAAGGCAGGCCGACTCTTCTTTCCAGATCAAAACTTCATTTATAAGAAAAGATTTATTTTTTGAAACCATTTGTTTTAGTGTTTTTTGACGCAGAAATTACCGAATTCGTCAAGTGCTCAAGCGCCAGGTGTTCATGCGTAAGTGTCCGCAAAGGTTTAGGATTTGGCGGGTATGGGCTCAGACTCCTAAACACCGATTAAAAGCTTTTACGGAGATCGAAGTGGGGAATATCATTTGGGCTGTTTGGAAAAGTTGGTTAACACGGAAGCCAACCCCAATTAAGTGTGTGTACTGGAATTCGGACGAATTACTTTAACTTATATGCAGCAGGTGGTCTAGCTCCAGAAACGCCTTCTTTTTAAGAACAGTCGTTCTTTACTGTCGTAAAACTTTCAGGAAAGCAGTTTAGGCAGATTTTGCGTTATTGCGATTTTCTATTGCTAACTCTGACATTTCCTGAATTAGCCAGTGGACTGGCCAATGGAAGCACAGCCGAGTTTGCACTGCGAAGTTAGATTAACTCTGTTGCTCGAACCTCAAATAGACATATAAGTGAAACTAATGCGAAACAACATTTAGGCGCACCACCACATCCCCTAGTACAAAACAATCATTTGAACGGGATTTTAAATAACAACATAAATGGGGGGCGGCCAGCATCTCGATTGGCGTGATGTGGCTGAGGGCAGGGACGGTGGCTTGCGCGTGAATCA